CTAAGGCATGTTACTACCAATCTCTTATTCCAGTTGCAAGACACTCATCACATAATCCCATTACAAGTGTATGTCTGCCACACCTTTCTACTACCTAGTCCAGCTTCTATTGACATCAACATGAACAGATGATAAAACTTTATCAGTTTCAGCATGGATGCCAACTTTCAGACTGATCCAAAGTAAAATGAGACCTGATTTCTAACCTTATTTTGTAGGAAACGTGACTGCCTGTAATCCTCTAAACAGTCAATCAAGTGCAGGAAAAGTAGAGCGGCAGGGATAGCTTTTGGACTTCTCCTGTCCTACAAAAATCATAGATGGCTGATTTCAGCTGTCAATGCCTTCTGTCTCCACCTGCAAAGCACCTCCCTCCTCTGTCCCTGGAAGATCTCCCCACCTCCATGCACTTCCAACTTCACAGGCAGCACTGAAAGAAACGTTCCAGCTGTGAGGGTAGACCAGGAGCACTTGAGAGCCAGACTCCAGGATCTAACTTGGAATAAATGCTCAATATAGGAGGTGGAACAATTTCTAGAAGTTATAAGATTGCATCCTAAGTTGACTTTAAATACATTTAGATACTGAAAAGGCATATTTCACTGCCAGCTATCAAAGTGGGCTAGGGCATGCTGGGGGCTTCAGAACTTTTTATTTTTTACAGACAATTTCACCCTTAAGAACATAATAAGAGCCATACTGGATCAGCCAAGGATCCATTTACTTCAATATTCTATTTGCACCATGCAAAACCCATGAGTAGGGCATGAGTGCAGTAGCATCTTCCCAGTCATGTCACTCCATAACTGATCTTGGAGATCATAAAAGGTAAAGGTAAAGGTTTCCCCTTGACATTACGTCTAGTTATGCCTGACCCTTGGCGGCGGTGCTCATCTCCGTTTCCTAGCCGAGGGAGCCAGCATTTGTCCACAGACCGTCTCTGTGGTCATGTGGCCGGCATGACTAAACACCAAAGTGCACGGAGCGCTGTTACTTGCCCATTGAAGTGGTACCTTTTTATCTACTTGCATTTGCATGCTTTCGAACTGCAAGGTTGGCAGGAGCTGGGATGGAACAATGGGAACTCACCCCGTTGTGCAGATTCGAACCGGCAATTCGATCAACCAGCACAGCAGCACAGTGGTTTAAACCACTGCACCACCTGCAGTACATATATAGTCAATAATTCAAGTGGCCATTGGTAGCCTTATCCGCCATTAATTTATCTAATTTCATTTGAAGATCTTCCAAATTGGTGGATATCACTACATGTTGTGGTTACAGATTCCTTAGTTCCAACTATGTGCGGTCTGAAGGGCCTCTTTTTATCTGTCTTGAATTTCTAACCAATTAGCTTCACTGGATGACCCTAGGTTCTGGTATAAAGAGAGGGAAAAAAAACTCTATATACTTTCTCCACATCATGCTTAATTTTGTATATTTCTGTCATGTTTAAAATGAAGCTATTTTAAGGACACCCCAAGAAACACTTTCCACTTTCATTTTGCAGCAATGGTATGCCCACAGAATTTACCTTATTTATTTCATTTATTACAGTTGTTATTTACAGTTCTGTAACTATAAGTAAGTATATCAGATATACTTTTAGCACTTATTTATTACATTTCTATGCCTGCCAGTAGCAGAAGCTCTCCAGACAGATCACAACAATGAAACACAAGACAATAAATAAAATCCTCAAATTTCCATATTTAAGACTATATTCTAAAAATAAACAAATAGAAGCAAATAGAAGTTGGTAGCTAAATTTAAAATACAGTGTTGTTGTTATGTGCCATCAAGTCATCTCCAACTTACAGTGACCCTATTAATGAATGTCCTCCAAGATGTCCAGATGTCTGAGCTCTGCTCAGCTCTTGTAAACTCAAAATTGTGACAGCCTTTATTGAATTGATCTATCTCATGTCTGGTCTGCCTCTTTTTCTTCTGCCTTTAATTTCTCTAGCATAATTGTCTTTTCAAGTGAGTCTTGTCCTCACATAATGTGCCTGAAGCTCAGTTTCACCATTTTAGCTTCCAGGAAAAGTTCTGACTTTAAGTTATCTAGAATCTACTTGTTTGTTTTTCTATCAGTTCACAGTATTTGCAAAGCTCTCCTCCAGCACCATGTTCCAAATGCATCAATTTCTGCCTGGCAGCTTACTTCACTGTCCAGCTCCCCACTCTCACCCCACACATAGTGATCAGAAATATTATAGTGTGGATCATCTTGGCCTTGATCTCCAATGAAAAGTCCTTACACTTGATCTTTTCTAGTTCCTTCACTGCTGTCTATCCAAGTCTCAGTCTTCTTCTAAGTTCCTGGCTGCAGTCTTTAGTTGAGTTGATGACTGAGCCAAGGTATGCCAAATATTTCAAAACCTCAATTTCTTCATTGCTGACATTAAAGTTGTATAAGCCTTCTGTCATCATGATTTTTGCTTTCTTGATGTTCAGCAACCATCTTGCTTTTGCACTGCCTTCTTTCACTTTTGATGGGATTTAATTCATTGCTGCTTTCTGCAGCAGGTAAGATGGCATTATATGCATATCATAAATTCTTGATGTATATTCTTCCTAATCCAGTTTTCCTTATAAGTTCTGCATACACACTGGACAGGGAGATAAAATACATCCTTGTCTGATGCCTTCGCTTATAGGAAGCCAATCTGTTTCTCCATATTCTGCCCTAACAGTAGCTTCTTCTCCATGATACATGACATGGATCAGGGTGAACAAGTGTTGCAGCACACCCACTTCTTTCAGAATCACGTGTAGTTTCTTATGATCTACACAGGGAAAGGCTTTACCCTAACCTATAAAGCATAGACTGATCTTCTGAAATTCTTTGGTGTGCCATAGTAGCAGGCGCATATTTGTGATATGAATTTGATTCTCTCTTTCTTTCTGAATTCCAGCTTGAATGTCAGGTATTTCTTGATCCATATAGGGAAACATTCTTGAGCACTCACGCCACCAAGGGTAACCATAATAGTTCTGAATCCAAGATAAGTGAAGTCCATTCAATCTGAAGACCACAAGCACACTTTCTGGAATCACAAAACAGCCTTCCTGGAGGCTGCCCCAAGTGGTGACATTCTTGTAGCAAGAGCTCTACAGAATTATTGCTCAAAGTCTAGCTTTATCCAGCAAACATCACTGAAAGTCTAATTTTTATCCAGTCAACATGAGCTGTTGTTGATAAATTCTTGACACATTCATAGAATACAAAGTGAAAAATGTCTCAGTTTCAAACATCTTTTTTCTTTCCAGAAATCTTTTCATTTTCATTTCAACCCCTTACCCACTGACATCAACTCTTAAGAAATCCATTTACTGATAGATAATTTCTCTGGTTAATAAAGTGCATAGGATTCAGATTCCTGAAGCATGCCATCATACTTTACATACTTTCTTACACAGATCCATGATACTGTTATCCTTTGCATGTGAATATAAATACTCAATATAATCCAGATGCAAAAAAGAGAGTTTTAAATCCATTTAAGAGTGCAATTCTACAGGTTTTGAGATGCAAACCTCCAACCTCAGAAGCTTCCATGGATCCATTGCCTGCCAAGGTGCTGCTGGCAGGGCAAGAGGAACAACAGAGTTCATTTTCACCTCTCTGGCCTCCATGTTTTGTGCTGACAAAAGCAAGATTGGAGCTTGTGATGAAACTATAGGATTCCACATGGCCTCTCCCTTTCCCTCCACACTCCACCCACTTGTTCACCTCCTTTCTGAGCTCTCCAAGGCTGTTTCTGCAATCCCAAGAAGCAGCAGGCTTCTTGGTCCTGCAATGGCTACAAGAGGGTAGGGAAAGGAATCAGATACCAAATTCCTGCTTCTGAGAGTAATAGCAAGCCTCCAAAGAATCCTAGGGCCCCAGGGCACTGTCCTGGGACCACAGGATTATGAACCCAACAATTTGACATCCTAGATATTCAAGTAGGACTACAAACTTTATAAGCTTTGAAAAAAGCAACTCAAACAATAGCAACTCAAGCAATAGGCATGGCCAGATCTTAGTTGAATAGGGCTGACTTCTAAATGATTATGCATGGGATTAGATCCTACTCAGAATTATGTCATCGTGTGTCAGATATACATGCACAAACATACACATATAAATAGATAGATATAAATATCCCACCTTATAACAAGAATTTTCTTGGCAGGTTATGCACGCTACAATTCTTTTAGCCTGAAGATAAGCATGTCAATAATTTCTCATAGAGTTTTTTCCTTTCCCATCAAAAGGTAGCTGTGAGGGTAAACTAGCCAAACCAGGATGAGTGTTTGCGTGCATCTTAAAGAGTCTGAACTCATTTTCTGGAAGAGCTTTTGTAGACAGCTGCCAACTACTTTATCAGCTGCCCCAAAAGGACACTTTTTGCAGCTGCTGACTAACAAGGATGTCTTGTGGATTCTGCCAGTGCGCTAAGCGAGGCTTCGAATCGCAGCAAGCAGCACAAGATGTAGGTACTTTCCCCTTCTGGAACCAGGAAGCCCGGGTCCACCACTATCCTCACGGCCGGTTAGCGATCACTGACAGACTGTCTTTCAAGAGAGAAAAAAGAAAACTTAACGTTTTCTGCATGCACAACAAAAACAAGAGGAGAAGCCCTCCCCTTCCCTTTTATAGAAAGTCAGCCCTAGCTGGGCTTCGCTGAGTTAAAGCTGGTGTAAAATCTTTCGAAACTTTCAGAACTCGACACGTTGTGTGTGTGTGTGTGGGGGGGGGTTGTTCTGAGAGCACAATGCAGCTTCCAAGGGGACAAAACTGTTTCCACACCCTCGTCTTCTTTTCTGTTTTTTTTTTATTTAAGCGGCTGCTTTCCAATCTCAGCGAGCAACTTCCCTCTTCTGGGACTACCACAAATCCTGTCCCCGAAGTGCTCACTTGACAGGCAAAGCAGGCGGCCGCGTCCTCGCCCCAGCCTTAAGCAAAGCTCCCCTCTCCGCTCAAATCTCTGCAAGCGCGGCACGTACTTTACCTGACGCTTTGCGGTTCTTCTCGGTCCCCTTGCATGGACGCTGCGGAGTCGCGAGCGAGGCGACGAGGCAGCGCTCGCCGCCGATTCCACCCCCGTGGCGACCTCGCAGCTGCGGCCCGGGGAGCCGCGCGGGACGCCGCGCTCACCGCCGCTTGCGGGGCCACCGTCCCACCAGTCGGGAAGAAAGGAGAAGCCCGCCCGAGGCGGGTGGGCCAGCGAGGGAGACCCGCCGGTGGGCGCCGCTGCGCCCGGAAGAGTCGCCTGCCAGGCTTCAACGACGGGGTTCCCCGACAGAGCAGTAAATAGTGATAGGAATAATACTAATAATGCAACGATAGTGCTGTTCCCCAGCAGCCGCCGCTAGTCCCGCAGGCGCGAACAAGGCCCGCCCCTTGGCTCAGCTCCTTCGACAAAAACCGCCTCACTTTTGAAACCGGCGGGCGGGCTAGCAGGCGGCCACGGGAAACGGCTCGCTCGTGGAAGCGGGCAGCGCTGGGCCGCGGGGCGAAGACGTCCCACGCGAAGGAGCCGGACGCTACCCCGGCCGGCGCGCTTCTTTCTACCTGGCAGGAGGCGCCTGCAACGCTTCCACGGACATCTCGCCCGTGGACTTCGGCCCGACATTTTCTTCCGCCTCTCGCTTCAGAATTGTAATTGGGGGCCTTGTTCGTTCGTTCTGATGGCACACAACCTTTATTTGTTTCTTTAGAGCGAAAAATTTCCTTGTGGAAATCTCTGCTGCTATTAGGACGTGTTCATGTTTGGTTCTTGGGAAAGGGAGGTGCGGGAGCCTCAGCCAGCCCGGAAGTCCCGCCGACTGCCCGGAGATCCCCTTTTCTTCTTACTCAGAATGTGAGGATTGGTTGTGGTCGATAGGTCGGGGAGGGGGGCATTCTTGCACAGACGCGTCAATGCATTCTTCTGAACGGGTCAGGATTACTGAACGCGTGTTCTTGAACTGAGCCTTGGTTCCGGTTCATTTTAAAAAAGCAAAACCCAGCAAACGCATTGCAACCTTATCTGATTAGATGTCTCTTGAGGCGTCAGCCCTCTGCACCCAGGAAGTTGATTATATTGTTTTTAAGGTCTCGTTTAAGCTCCACTTATCTCAGACCCTTTCACCACAGCCAGCAACTAAGTTGCTGTGATGTTATGGAATATTAGGGTGCTGACAAAAATGTGTAGCTACCAAGGAAAATGAACTGGACCAAGAAACAGGAGGCATGAGAGCTAACTGAACATTGCAGGCCTAGTTTAAACCAGGCAAGTAGGGGTCGAAATAGCCATTACTTTAGAGCTATAGCTGACAGCTGTGTCTTTTTTTTTTTTTTTCTTTTCATTTGTACTCTACACGAAACACAGGAGGCCCAGTCTGGATTGCAACCCTAATATTGGGTGTGTGGGGAGGGGGTATTTCCCCATTATGAGGCCAAATGAGATGGGATGCACCTGCATTTTATAATGTAAAATAGTGAGCTATTTGTTTCACAGATCACTGCTGGAGTGGAATAGATTTGAACTGGGCCCACAGAAGAGGGAAAGGGTTTTTAAAGAGTATTCCCCCTGTTAGAACCCAAACTGGATTTCCTGCACCTATTGTAGAATAAAAATGTCAGCCATGTCCTCATCCATACAATTAATCATGTTACACTACATTTAAAAGTATAGATCTACTTTTCCTTTACAAAATAGCTTCCATGGAACATGAAATTGGTAGTTTTATTTTCATATTTTATGTATGGAGAATTTCATTGTAATGATCCATATTATAAGGCCATGACTATAACACTCCTCTGTATTAGTGCTGTCAAATTCCCAGTCCTGAAGATGTCTCTGTGTGTGCAGGCTTCTCAATGTCATGGAGTAAAGAAAATGCACAGGTATGTTGCAGCAGTATCCACTGCATGCGTAACTTAAGATAGACATACCACTGTGCAGTTCAGCATTTTCATTCATAAGGTATCTAATGGAAAGCACTTGCATGTCTTCAGGGGATGCAAAGCTGACAAGCAGAACATAGTCTGAACGCACATGATAAAGTAAACATGCTGAAACTTAATAGAGGTAGGCCTGGGTTGTACCTTGAGACCTTATGGATGCTGCAATGATTAAGCTATTAATATAATTCAATAAGGTAAGCATGCTATAAGATTGGTTAGTGTTTAGTGTTACAGTATAGAAGGCTTACATTGAAAGAATACTGGCTTGCCTAGAACTTCTGTAAGTTAATTGCTAAGGTGATATTTAAACATAGGCTAACACATTTACCACACAATCCACTGGGGATGCCCGTAACTCTCCAAATTTGGAGGATTATGACAATCCTATTGAGGGCTGAAGCTAACCTCCATGTTTTTCCTGTTTTGCAAGAGACACTACCCCAGCACCACTCCAAGCTTGATCTTGCAGTATCAGAAGTTTGTCTGGTGCAGAAAGAACTGCACCAGCTGCAAGGCCATAGGGAAGCTGCTCCAAATTTGGAGTCTCAGTTCCAACCTTGAAACCTTCTGAGGTTGGTGCAGGGGTTCCAAATTTTCCTAGGGTTCCTGGGGTTTCCACTACTATACCGTGCCACATATATTTTGGAAAGTTACAAAAACAGCATAAAAATATAAAAGATTATTAAGAAATTGTAAACTAGGTATTTGTCATCTGAAGATAGGCTACACTAATAAAACCACACAAAGTTGTAGTGGTAAATAAAGTTATATGCCCAGTATTTGGGGTAAGTTAGTTAATAGTGTTGAAGCAGCATTTAAAGGAGAAACAGAGGAGGCAATCATCCATAAATGCAGAACAGTGCCTGAAGCATACAGTGAAAAATTATGAGCTACATTTTTTAAAGTGTTGGGTGGATGATCCTCAAAAGTATGGTTAGAGGACTAAAGAGAATTTAAAGTTGAATGGGAAAGTGGTCAATATTTTTTTTACCAAATGACTTAAATAAATTGTGGCATCTATTCCTCATTTTAAAATGTTAAATGCTGTGCAGCAAAACTGGAAATAATTTATTATTAATATAATATTATCGGCACAGAGATCTGTATAATGCCTTATGAATGTATTAAATGTGTTCCTTCATTATGGTTTCACTGAAACTCTCACTTTATCCCCACCCTTAATTACTGTGTACAGTGCAAGTGTTATCCTGAAAAGACACTGTGGCTTCCTTTTAATCAACTCCTCACTCAACACCTGGCATGTTTGAAAAGGCTATAATAAAGAGTAGTCAGCTTCCTTCTGTTATGACTAATGTGGTTTTCCTGGAGCATTCACATGCTCTTAACAGAGTATTAGATGTGCAGAGTAAATGTAAGCATTTGTACCAAGAGATTATTCCCACTGAATTCAACACATTTACTTCCAATATATGCATATGACTGCAACTTTAGGATTATTTTTTTAAAATTCTCATGTATAGGAGGTTTTCACTAGAATAGCAGATTTTTTCCAACAACTGCAACTTACAAAGGGGATTTCTTGCAAGGATTCATGTCTACCAGTATTTAGGAATGAAGGCCATTTAAATTTCCTATCTAAAGTATGTGTGAGTCAATTTATTTTGTGAACTACCCAGGAGCCCCTGGGCTGATGGCCTGTGTAGAAATATAGTTAGTTAATTGGTTAGTTTCTACGTCAAATGACAGTACTCTGAGTACTATAGAGGGAAGTGATACTTATCTTAAAAGACATGCAAAAGAAAACATGCAGGACTGTCTGTTTTGAATTCTAGTTTGATCTAAAGGTAGTGTAATTCATAAATATCTATATTAAGGGTTTCTTCCTTGCATTTTCTGGCCTAACCACATATTTTTTTTATTTCGATTTATTTCGATTTATATCCTTTTTCCTACAAGGGCTCAAGGGAGCTTACATCTCCTCCTCCATCTTATCCCCACAACAACCCTGTGAGGTAGGTTGGGCTGAGAGTCTGTGACTGGCCCAAGGTCACCCAGTTGGCTCCATGGCTGAGTGGGGACTAGAACCCAGGTCGTCCGGAGTCCCAGTCCCATGCTCTTAACCACTACACCACCCTGGCTCTATTTCTATTCTGTACTTCAATCTTTGAAACTGTCCAATTATTTTAAGTGGGCTAGAGAAGCTGTATGAAAAGTATACTGTCTTTAAGTTCATTATGGAGATAGAAATTATAACCATTTAATGATCCTTTTGTATGATTGTTATTATTATGATGCACATCAGCAACAATTATAAGTCAAGAATCTTTCTTTGCTCTTAAAGTGTCTTGATCTAGTGCCAGTAGTAGAAAATCTTGGCTAAAAGTAAGTATCTGGAAGCAACACATTTTTCCTAGATTCATTTCTGCTCTGATAGAAAAACACAGATTAAATTAATTGCTATTTTTACACCACAGTTGGAGTTATGGCAAGAAAAAATGCAGTTTAGTTGCACATATTTGGCTTTTAATACTTATTCCGCCTGAAGAATCAAAGGGCTCTGGATCCAGGAGCCCGTGCGTGTGTGTGTACATGCGCACACACGCATGTTTTGCAGGAATTGATCCACATGTTGGAAATGTAAAAAGAGTAATGTATCCACAGCCCACAGTTCTATCTCACCACTTGTTCAAAACACAGAAAATAGATTTGGAGCCTTGTGCACAGAAATAAAACAATTGATAAAAAATAGGCAGATACATGATGACCATGTAAAGAAATAACCTGCCAATACTGGACTAAAGTATGCAAAGCCTCCCCACAGGTTTATAGAGCATTCCAAGCTATCTTTGATGTAATTGAAATATTCCCTAAATAGCCAACAATGTGTTTAAGTAAATCATAGCTCAAAATTTATAATCAATATGGCATTAGTTTTTCAGTAAAATCAATTTACCTGCTCAGCAACCAAAACTTCATAGTCGACTCACTTTGTGCTTGGAGCTGAGGGGGGGAGAGAGAAACTTCCTGGTGTCACCTGAAAAATCTACATTATCCTTCTAAGCTTGACTGCACCAGTTGCATTCTCATGATGGCAAGAGATAACCTCCAGCACAGGAATTAAGTAACACAAAATGTTACTAATAGAAGTTTGAAAAAGACAAAGCTTTTAGAATTACAAAACTGGGTGGTAAGTCATGCTATCTATTGTGTGTTTATGCAGGTGCACTCCATTGCATACATGAAGAATAGACAAAATTAACGTCAGTCAGTAAAAATATTGGTGAATTCTTCAT